CCCCCCGCGCCCCCCCCGCCACAACACCATGAATCCCTTAGGGAGGTGCCAGCCTCATCTTCTTGAACTTCCCATGCTCCTGCTGGGGGCTAAGGAAACGCTTATCTCCCTGAGCCTGGCCTTCATAAGTCCATTCCATCACAATAAGGAGAGAAGCAAATGGTGCTGAAAAGGCCATCTAATCCCACAGATTGGACAATCAGAAGCCAATAGATCACTAAATTGGATTCACGCCCAATATCTAGCACCTCCTAACTAACCCAGAACCATCTGGCCTTTCTTGCTAATCCAAATAGTTCTGAAACCTCTCACCTAAGCACATTTAGCCACTTTCTGCATGGAAATAACGTGGATGTAGGAACTCCGACACACTTAGGAATGCAGAATTTAAATTTGCATAATCCCACACACTGCATGGCCAAAGCCATGCCAATGGAGAGATTATAAGAATGGAAGGCCCATATTTTGAGAGAAGGTTGGCCCATTGTGATGGACAGTTGTTCTCCAGGGTTTCCAGCTGAAACCTGCTATCACTCACCAAGATTTTTTTTTTTAAACTGAAGCAATTTTAACATGAGATGTTCTGTATACAAAACCGATATTCAGTCATTCAGATGTTGTCCCTTCTTCTCATCCCCTCCCAAACTTTTTTTTCAGGATGCAGCTCCTCTCTCCACTTATTGTCTTGGTTAAGAATTGAACCCAAGACATCTAGTACCCCAAAAGAGAATCCTATCTATTTTGCAAGATATTCAGACTGAGCAGCTGTTTTTCTTGCCTAAGGCAAGACTAGGATTCATGGTCTCCTGGTTTCTACTCCAGCACCTTAACCACTACTCCAAACTGCCTCTTGGCGGAGATCACCTCTTTCCTCACTATACTAATATTTGTGTGTGGAACAAATGGCAGGAAAGATTCGAAGCAGTTTAATGGATGGAGTGAAAATATTCCAGGTACAGAGCTGAATTGTCATTATTTGGGGTGCAAAAATTAGTTGACTCTTAGATGGCTACAAACAGTAAGAATTCTCTCTGTTTTAGCCCAGATATAATAGCCCTAGTAACTGTTCCACCCAGCCTTGATACGGATCTCAGATGCTCCCCTGGCTTTCAGCATAGCAGCTGCAGCTAGATGGAGCAACTGTGTGGCTGCTTGTGATAAGCAAGTGAAATTTTGGCCTTGCACAACTGGGTTTCTTCATCTTCCTCCTGACTAGCCAAGCAGAAGCCATGTGTTGAACCCATTGCTCCCTCCATCTGTTTTGAGAAACAAGGGAGCCATTTCCTGAACGGCCTACTCTCTGCTGACTTCCCTAACCTCCCTCTCTCCCTTCCCCTTCAGCCTGTGCAGTTGTTGATGGCCATGTCCCTTTTGATCCTCAAAATTATATATATGCAGCAGGAGAAAATGGGCATTGTTCCCTGGGCCAAAGAGAAAATTCTAGGCTAGAAATCAGTTACCAGCTCCAAAGTTAAAACCCTTTTTATATCTTCCCATGTTCCCTCTTCCCCAAAAATGAAAAATGATTGAAAACATTGTGCAACCAACTTCACTTTTTCACATAAGAAACATAAAAGGGTTCCCATGTTTATTATTCTGATCAAAGTGAGTTGATCTTTTTGTCTCACCTCTAGGTGTTTCTGAACTACAACATGGTCAATGGGGAGAGAGGGTGGGTGCTGTCATGTAGCAATATCTGGACACAACAGATTTCCCCACCCTCTATTATACCCAAAGCATGGGGGCTACTTCATTAAAAAAAAATTAATATATTGTTGATTGATTGCATGAATTGTTTCACTTCTGTTCAGTTCTCACAGCATTCAACACTTTTTGAATGCAGGAAATCTCAGGTTCAACCCTTGCTATTTCCACTTGGAAAACAATCTCACATGGGAAGTCTCAAAAGGGCCCTCTGCCCTACAACAATTCTGACATTGGTGTACAATCCTCTCAGAGCACAGCTGAGCTCCCAACTTCATGGCATGGTCCACAATTAATTAAGGAGTTTGTTTTTGGTGTTCCAGACACTAGGACCTGAAGCCATTTACTGAAGTACTGTACAAAGTTCAGAAATAACATCATATCACAGGCATTATGAGCATAATCAAACATAGCTTGCTGCCAGCTGGGGGACATACTAGAGACTCTCCTTGGGGAACCAGACCTGCCCTGGTGAGTCACTCCCATTCAAAGAGAGTTTCTCTGGGGGCCAAATGTGATCCTAATCAAAAAGGCAGCTAGACTCAGTTATCCAGTCCTTCTTGGAATGTGGCTTACTGACAGCTAAGAGGAACCCCATAAAAATCCCCCTCCTCCTCCCAGATGAAATCTATTGCTGAGTTCTTATGTACTTAGGTAGTCTTTCAAAAAGCCGTGGTGGACTACAATTTCTTATGAGATATATGCTCATCTTGCTGTCATGTAATGTATGGAAGGGCTCCACAAAAGGCCATATCAAGATCCCCCAAGAGATTGAACAACTTTCCCTAAGATGTGAGGGTCTGAGGAACAGGTTACAAGACTAATTTCTACTGAAGTTTTGCCTCTTGAATCAACAGCTATAAATAAGCCTGTCTGGTGCTAGCAGTCTCCTTCCTCCCTGGGACACACCCTCCAAATTTGGAAGTTTAAGTACAGACCTCACGAAATGGGATACATATGCACAGAAGCCAACCACCGCACCAGCCACGGGAGACTCCCCTAAATGCTTACTCTGAGTTGCCACTTGCTCACCAGAGGAAACACACCACCATAGTCTCAAGAGTTGGCTCTCAGGCAAGAATCTTGTGCCATTTTGGGGTTACCTACCCAAAACTGATGCCTTCTGGATGTGCTGGTTATCTTCTGCCCCTTCAACATGATCCACAGACCTGCTTCCCCTTCAGTGGACTACAGCACCCATCACACTTTAAAGATGATGGGTATTATAATCCAAGGCAGCTGTAAGACACAAGGTTGTGGACATCTATGTTATGGATTTCACAGATTTATTGTGACGAAAGTCTACTAAGTCCACTTTGAAAAAGCTTATCCTAAAGTTTACAGCATACGATCTAGTCTGCCTAAATTTCTGTCATTAATCCTTCAGCTCCTCGTGATTCCCTTCTTAATACATAAAGCACATGTATATCAAGGCTACTAATTTTAGTATTCAGTTATTAGCTTGAATTTTCTTTCTTCTGCCATCTTTAGTTACCTTGAACATCCAGCTGACTAGAAAGCCAAACTATTATTTGGGTGAATGAATATATAACATTGCAAAAAACCCGACATGTAAAATGGTAACCCATGACCTCTAGTTTCTGGAATTAAAACAACTGCTTGGGGTTACACCAGATCCTGAAGCCCACTGGTTAGGTTCACAAAACACACCAAGATATAAAGCTTCCAACCACATTTTAACCTAGCACACCTTATAAACCTAGATGGATATATAACCCATAAAGGGGATTTCCTTTTCCCCACCCACAATTAAGCATTCAAATGCACACAGAAAGATACTTTGACTCTCTCTTTGAGCCTGAATTGACAGTGTCCCCTAATTGGGTCCCTCCACATCAGTGCTCCTCAACCTTGGCTGGGGCTGGGGAATTCTGGGAGCTGGAGTCCACACATCTGAAAGTTGCCAAGGTTGAGGAACACTACTCCACGTGAAATGGGAGAGAATTCTTAGCCAGCAGTCATTAGCAAGGCCAAGGGGAGACTAATTCCTGAGCAGCTGTTCTCTAACCTGGTGGTCACCAGATGTGTTGGGAACCAGGGCTGCTGATGGACTCACCTTCTGGCCCCCTTTAAAGCCATGACAGCGTCCCTCCGAAACATCCAAGCACCAGAAGATTCTCGGGCAAGCAAGGGAAGTGAACTCCGCAGCTGCCAGCGGCTGGTCTGCTTGTTGTATATACAGGCTGTGAAGACAGGAAAACGCTAATCCACACCCCCCTCGGTCTTAACCCCTTCTGAACCACGTTGTGCCTTCAGGCTGCTTTTGACCCCCTCCCAGGCCATTTGCTACCTCCCCAAATGCTTCTCATATTTTTGCCAAAGCGTTAACCTTTTGCTCTCGTTTGAACTGGAAGAGAGCAACACAGACTTTAAAAGTGGGTTTCTTTACAGGGAAAGGGGGGGAAAGCATGGGGG